TGGTACATTAACAGTACCAAACTATCAGAAAAAGCATTTTGATTTTACTCAATTTATATATGTATAAGTAATGAATATTTTTTTTATTGACAGGAAAACTTACAATGCTACAGGTACCATAGACAGTTTCAAATTATAATGATGATGAAGAAGAAACATGAGGTTGGTTACAGAAATAATTTAATGGTTAGTTTTGTTATTCAATAAGGTTAGATAATTGATAAATATAATGAAATCAATAATTACCATTGATTTAAACAATTTCAACTATTAGATGAACAACTTCCAATGTAGTATATATTTTCAATTAACAAAATGATTGTATAGATAATTATTTTTGTATATTAAAGATTTTCATAAATTACAATATTATTGATCTTAAAGGTTTGTACAATACTTAAATGTATGTAATTCTTTCACTAGTTTAACTTGTCAAACAGTTAAAGCAAAAGTTTTGATAAAAAGAGACATTATCATCTGATGTAGCAGTCCCAGTTAACCATTAGGAATGTGAATAATTTTCAAGTGTATTGTTTGAACAAACAATTGCATTGCTAGATATAGATCTATGTTGTTGAAATTATTTATAGCAATATTTTAAAAATAAACTAGAAATGTGTCCATAGGACACGGATGCCCCCACACGCCACTGTTCTGTCAATCTTATGACTCTAGGTCAAATATTTTTTGGACTACATGTGCCACAAGTTAAAACTAAAAATCAACAAAGTGCCATAATTCTGTTAAATTTGGTTGCAGCAAAAATTCTTTCCTTTACTACCATCTACACATTAAGGTTATTCATCCCTGGCAGTTTAAGCAAAATCTGCCATCTGGTTTAAGAGGAGTTGCGTTCACAAAATTTCTACATAGTATATAATGAAAAAATCAACAAAGGGCCATAATTCTGTTAAATTTGGTTGCAGCAAAAATTCCTTCCTTTACTGCCATCTACACATTAAGGTTGTTCATCCCTGGAAGTTTAAGCAAAATCTGCCATCCGGTTTAAGAGGAGATGCATTCACAAAATTTCAACATAGTATAATTATAGTGAAAAAATCAACAAAGGGCCATAATTCTGTAAAATTTGGTCGCAGCAAAAATTCCTTCCTTTACTACCATCTACACATTAAGGTTGTTCATCCCTGTAAGTTTAAGCAAAATCTGCCATCCGGTTTAAGAGGAGTTGCGTTCACAAAATTTCTACATAGTATCTAGTGAAAAAATCAACAAAGGGCCATTATTCTGTTAAATTTGGTCGCAGCGAAAATTCCTTCCTTTACTACCATCTACACATTAAGGTTGTTCATCCCTGTAAGTTTAAGCAAAATCTGCCATCCGGTTTAAGAGGAGTTGCGTTCACAAGATTTCGGGACGTACGGACGGACGGACGGACAAGTGCAACGCTATATGCTCCCACATTGTGGGGGCATAAAAACTATTGCAGCAAGAACAATTTTAATTTTAATTAATAATTAAACTCGCAAGATTGCCAAAAAAATTCTGTTATTTCCAAAAAAAAGAATATTTTACTATGCACATGCCTTCAAATATTGACCTTTTTTATAACATGCTAATAATAACAATCATATGCATATGAAACATAAATTATCAATTATTATACAAATATTTTTTCAGTGTCTACAACAAGCATTAAATGATGTGAATAGTTGTGTGCCAGAGTAAAGCGATTCTTAAAGACTGCATCTGTGAAGGACATGATTTATAATATTACAATATGGATACTTATTTGGAAAAAAAAAAAAAAAAAAAAAAAAAAACACAAACAAACAAAAACAGTTCTCTTAAATAAACAATGTTTTTTTTTTATATTTTCTCAACTTGATAGACTTTAATTTTGTTTTGTATTTTTGTTATAGAATAATGTTTGTTAAGATGACTTGTAAATGTGGAAACAATTTGAAATGAATAAATGTATTATGTAATAGTTTATTAATATTATACCTTATCACATGACAAAAAATTGCAATAAAGGAGAAAGAACAAAGTTTGTGGGAGCCAGCTTGTTGTGCCTTTCAAATGTAAAGAATGCATTTCTGAAAACACCCTGCAAGCTTTCCGCAAGCTTGCGGTAAGCTTGCGGCGATGTTCCAATTCTAAGCTTTCCTTAAGCTTTATTTGAAAGCTTAAGACAAGCTTGTTGCTAGCTTGTCGTAAGCTTTTAAAAAGCTTGCGATTTTGGTTTATGGTGCCCCTAAAAGGAGCAAATCAAATAAATATGAGCAAACCTGATAAATGAATACCTTAGAATGCTACAGACAAAGTTTGGTGATAATCCATCAATTAGTTCTGTAGTAGAAGATGTACAAGGGTTTTTCTATTTTTAGCTTGAGCGGCCCTTAAAAGAAGGCTACATACAAAGTCTGGTGATCATCCGTCAATAAGTTTTGTAGTAGAAGATGTTTAAACGTTTTTCTATTTTTAGCTCTGTTGACCAATTAAAGAGGCCAATTGAATGACATGAGCAAATTCAAGTGTGTCTGTCACAAAGATGCTACAGACCAAATTTGAAGAAAATCTGCCCAGCAAGACGATTGTTGACACATGACGACGGACGCCGGGGCATCCCCCTTTTATACCAATAGCTCACCCGGAACCTTCGGTTCTGGTTAGCTACAAACCTGTGTTAAACTGCCAATTAATATTGATTAGGGACTACTAGTATATGCGACTGTTATGTTTTCACACTCGATTATATGGTTTACAAAGCCTTTTAAAGCAACAATTAAAAACATTTCATTTATGTTTTCAGTTTTTATAGTATTTTCTTTTCATACAATACCGAAAATAATATATTCACAATACATTGACGCCACAATATTATGATCCATATTAGGTAATAAATATTTTGACAAAACCGGCGCCAAATCCGTAAGTAGCGCTAGTAGGACGTCATTCCCAAAGTATACAACTCCATTTCATTAAACCGCTGGACGTCAGTTCAATTACAAGAATGAATAGTGGGCACTTACTGATGTTAACACAATACAATCCATTCTAAGACGTAAGTTTTTATTGTTGAAAACTTGATATAATAACGTTTATTTCTTATTATTTCTTTTGTTTAATAATTTGTATATCTCAGCAACAGTAGGGTGCGAAAATCGAACAGCGTTACACGAAAATCGGCACCGGAACTTATTTCCCCTTGAAAGAATAACATTAGTGATCTTCTTTATTTTATCGTGTTAGAATCGAAATAATATCGGTCTTAGCGGTGTTTTTTTCCGGCTATTTAACACCGGTTTTGTCGTTTTATTGCGAAAAAAAATAACCAGGAAGGCCGTAACCCAACTCCAAACCGGTGTTAAATAGCTGATAAAAACCGCTAAGACCGATATTATTTCTTAATTGAATATGTATTTTTTTTTAAATAAAAGAACGTACCAACTATGTATGGGAATCTGCGTCAAGCAAAGCTTGTCCTTTCTTACAAACATCCGAGTTTGTTGTACTGTATATTCACAGTTGTCCACTTATTGTGTTAAGGCATACATATATACTTTGTGTGAATTTTATATAAACAAAAAGAACGTGTAGCGATAATCAATACTTTCAAATATCAAAATTGGGCACAGTACGAGGGCTGTTCAAAAATAATTGCTTATTGCTCTCTATCTCGTGATCCACGTGGAACACGATAAAAACCAATACATACCTGTATAGGGTAAATCAATACCTACACAACGGTGTATAAATGTACATGTTAGACTAAGTGTAAGACATGTAGTTTGCCATTTAAATACACGCAGTAATTGACAACTGTAGTAAAAATGGTTGGTGGAAGCGTCGACAAAAAAGATGAAATACGGGCTTACATCAAAGCTCGCTCAAAGCTGGGTTGCTCTTTTAAGCAGTGGATAACTGAACTCTCTACTGCTCATAGGCCTTCTTGTGTGTCTTATGACAAGTTTAGACAATGAAAATGAAATTTGAGTCGTTTGTGAGTGCATTTTCCAAAAATTGCACCCAAAATCAGGTAGACCAAAATCTGGCATCTGGTGCGTAACGAAAATCGGTCCCAAAAATTAAATATATCATTGGAAGAGATGCCTAGATTTACAGTTTGTGATATTGCACGAAAGGTAGCATATCACTATCAACGGTTCACATTATTTTGAAAGAAATCATTTGAAAGTCAGAAAGATTTCTGCTAGTATGGGTGCCACATCTGTTGACCGCATGAACAAAAGAGGCAAAGGGTTTTAAAGGTGGCCAAAAAGTGCTTCAAATGTTTCTAAAATTAATGACAAAAAACAGTCTTGCCAGATGTCGTCACAGTGATGAAATTTTTGGGTCCATTATCTTGAGCCCGTCAGAAAAGTTTAGTAAAAAAAAATGGGCCACTAAACACAAAACAAAAGCCCAATAATTTGCCAAAAATAAACCGTCTTTGAGTGCAAAGAAGGTTTTGTATGCAATTTTCTTCTCTGGTGAAGGAGTCGCAATAAAAGTGCCGGTGAAAAAGGGCAAAAGTATAAGTATCAAAAGTACGTAGTACTTAAGAAACTGAAATTTTTTTTATAAAAAAACGACGCGCTGACACTGGTTTTAAGTTTTTCCGTCTTCTACATCACATTGCCCCCGCTCATACCTCCGCAATAGTTTCGGCGTTGTTGAAAAAAGAGAATCAGTTTTGCCTTACCCCCGTATTCTCCAGACCTTGCCCCATGTGATTTCTTTTTGTTTCCGAAATTGAAATCCTTCCTTGCTGGGCGGAAATACAAGTCCCGACAGGCACTTGGATCTGCCATTCATCAGTACCTTATTACTGTGCCCAAATAAGCGTACCGTGACGCCTTCAAGAAGTTTATACATCGGATGAAAATTTGCATTTCTAGCCACAGCGAGTACTTCGAGGGTATGAAATTAACACTTTTGAGCTAACTTGAAATATGAAGTCTCCAGATAGAAATAAGCAATACATTTCGAACATCCCTCGTATATCTTAAAAAGGAATATCATTGTAAAATAGTTACTTGGAATGCAACTCAGATAGTATGACCATGACCCATTACTCTGACAAACCGAATGCGTCTTTCCTGACACTTCTTGGAAATATTTGTGACACGTGATTTCTACACGTGAACCAACCGTCTTCATATTGCCGAGAAAGGTACATGTACCATCCTTTATTTCAAACGCATCACAAACTAAAAGAAGCCAAAATAAAGACATACAAAATTTTTCATCGCAATATTAATATCTTAAATCGCATACATTGTTACCATAATTACTATGTACATGATAATTATTTAGAATTTTATTGAAACTATCTTTGACGTAAACTACACGGACATATTATCAAGAATGAAACGATTTAAAATCCCTTAAATATTAAGCATGCGTATATAACAACAGCAGATAAGTCCTAATTATCATATTAAATAACTATTTCTCTTTTTTTTTTTTTTTTTTTTTTTTTTTTTTTTTTTTTTTTTTTTTTTTGGGGGGGGGGGAGGAATGCAAATCTATGAACAATGAGTAATCAGCAAGTCTTTCTTAAGATGTTACTTAATGTTTCCTTGAAGGTTTTACATGAACTGCCTCAATCAGACACAGCTTGCCACATTTTCAATTTTGTCGTTTTGAGCGTTATTTATGAATATTTTTCTATTATTTACAAACATACTCTGTTTGGAAGTTGGTGAATTAATAGTTATGTCTTTTATTTTCGTGTATTTCAAAATGGATCAAACCTCCAGATTTCTAACAAATCAAGTTTCAGATAATCAAAACCCATTACATCAACCTCAGGCTCGAGTTTATTTGGTCGATAGGTAATCAAAAAACAACATTAAATACTTGAAAATACATCTACTTTGTTTTAATTAAGAAAGTTCAGACCCCCCTTTAGTTGGTAGAGAAGATGCCAAATATGTTATTAATACTTTAAATTAGTTGTATACTTCTCTAAATTCTCGGTGTTCAAAATAGTTAATTATTATTCATTTCAAGTTTGGCCATCTTTTTATATCTTCTTTTTTTGGGCATTAGTACAGTTAATAAAGCTGAAGTCGAAATCTTGAATGGAAGCCAAAAAAGCCCCACTTTGTTAACACTTGCTTTTTTTGTTCAAGAAACAGATCTCACATTCAAAAGGCTAAATCTGATTTTATTTTTTTCCCATGAATGAGACTCATCTTATAAAATTCTTATATTATGAAAGCGCATGGGCACTTCAATTTTTCAAAAGACTATAAAGATAATTTAAAAAAAAAAAGCTGAGAACTTAATGTGGCCCCTTATAAAGAAAATATTTTAATTCGCCTTACTAAAGCGAATCTCTCTGAACCATACAGTGAGCGTTTAGCACCATGAAAACGATTGTCCAGTTGATAATGTTAAATTTTGGCAAATGGGGAAATATTTTTTTGGGAAGCCAATGAATTGCTTTAAGGGTAACTGTATTTAAAACTTAGAACATTTTTGAATCACACTGCTTAGTTTCCAAGCACAGTTTTCATCTTCACAAGTTTCTCCGACAGTAGAGGACTTCAAATGCAAAAAAAATACTTAAACTACTTTTTTCATTTTGTTGCTTATAAAAATTCAATGTTTTGCTTAATTTAATAACAATATTTCTAATTTAGGATGGGAAAAATCGTTGACGGGGCGGGGGAAATGGAGAATTAAAAATTTCTTTAGTTACTAAAGATTTTTCGATCGGTATGACAAGATATAACCTGCGAAAATATAATTATGGAAACTGTTTTAATAAATTAATGTTTTTGAGAATGCAAATTTTGCCCTATTCAGAATAATCATTTACCAAAACAATGCGGGAATCAGTCTAGTCCTTGCAAGCTTGAACCGCAGGTGCCGCGGCCAGTTGTCTTTTTACTAATTCATTAAGGATTTTTTATCTTAATTTTCCGAGTGGTTTTGGAAATGGTCAGTTACCCAAAAGAAACTTGGGGTAAATCAAAAAACAGGTAAAAGTTTAAGGTCAATTAGATAGATAGATAGAATAGATAGATAGATAGATAGATAGATAGGAATGAGATTTATTTCAGTATTCAGTAAATAAAATGGTAAAAACATGCCGGGGCAATACATTTGATAAAAACAATAAAAAAAAAATATCAATGTAAGAAATGCACCATAACCAAAAACCGATAGAATACCCAAGGATAACACAAAAAAAGAAGAAACTAAATCCTCTTAATTTCCATTGTGGTCCTTAGATACTGATTGGTTTTGGGAACAAAGAGAGGGCATGAAAAATGACTTTCACAGTTTTAAATTAAAGAAAAAACAAAAGTATACCATAAAGTTTTCAAATTAAAATAAATTAAAAAAAAATAATAAATATTAAGACTAAGAGGATAAGACACCTTTAAAAGAGATAATTACCCATTAAAAGTAAATGTTTTTTAACAGATTAATTTTTAAAAAAATTGTATTTTTTGATTCCATCCTAATGAGGAAAGAGGGGTTGAGTTTATTTCCACAATACACATGCCATTGTAAGCAAAAGACTTTGGGGATCCGAAACCTTTTGGGGGACCTTAGGGTAGCATTATAAACACTCCTTACCTTGAAACCTGGTCCTGTAAAGTATGAACAGAATTCTAATGGAATAAAGTTTTCTCTCCAACTATATTCAGGGGGCAAAGTCCATGTTTTTATTTTAAAAACATTACATAGAATGATTTGATGGCAACTCTTTCTGACAGGTAGCCAATTTAAAAATTTTAAAGTGGGTTTCAATTTAAACAATATGTTTACATATAAGCCAAGATTTAGAACAAATCTTAAACAATTTTTTTTTGTGTGACTTGGAAATTTAAACCTTCCAGTATTTAGTAACCCCCCGGAAAAAAGAAACAACATGCATTTTAAAAAAATGACATTTTGGGGGGAGGGCCCCTAACCCGAAGTTTTTTTTTTTGGGGTTGGGAAAAATGAGAATTTAAACCCCGTTTTTTTAAAACAGAAACCTTAAAACCCTTGGGGATTGGCCCCTTTTTAAAAAAAAAAACTTGCCCTTGCCCCACCGGAGAGAGACCCGATCAAGTGTTTTCCCCCAAGATTTTGACATTAGAAATTGACTGTTTTATAGTCCTTTTACAAATGACATGAAGAGATGGGAAACCCGTTTTTTAAACCCATGTTTTTTGAGGGCCCAAAAAAAATTTTTCTCTGTTTTGGGGCCCAAGTGAAAGGGAAAATTTTTTTTGTCAATTAACCATTGACTGACAGAATTTAGTTCATCTGTCCCGTTCTTTTTTAAAAAGATGCCTATTTTTTTCCTTTAAAAAAATAAGAATCATCAGCATAAAGAAGAAATTTAAATTTTTTAAAAACAGCCCGCATATCATTTTTCATAAAAATTAAAAAAAATAACGGTCCCCAAAATAGGGGCCCTTGGGGGGAAAAAACAAGTTTAAACCCCTTTTATTTTTTGAAAGGGAAAAAATACCAAAATAAATTTTAAAAAGTTTTTGCCTTTTAGACAGATATGACTAAACCATTGGGAAAAAAATCAGTACCAAAACCCAAAGGCTTCTAATTTCAAATTTAAAAAGGGTTTTATGGTACACTTTAAACAAATTTTTTGAAGAAACCATTTAAAAAAAAATGCCCACAAAGAATTAAACCCTTTTTCCATATGTTGTAATGAAATCAGAAAAGAAAGTGTTTAAAACAAGTGTCCCTGGAAAACCCCCCTCTAAATCCCTGATTTAAAAATTTTAAAATAATAGTCCCTTTTTTAAGAAAAGGAAGAAATTGATCAAAACAACCCTTTTTAAAAAAAATTTTTGAAAAAATGGGTTAATATGGAAAAGGCCCCGAGTTGCCAACTTCAAATTTTTTTTCATTTTTTTTTGGGGGAAAAGGAACAACTTTGGGGGTGCCCTTTAAATCATCCCGGTACTGTGCCCTTTTTATCAAAGAAAAAATTTTTTAATGTGTGTTAAAAGGGAAAGGGAAAAATAGATTTCACTATCTCTTTAAAAAAAGTGAAGGGAAAACCATCCCGACCAGATGGATTTGTTTGAACCTAGTTTTTAATTCAAATACTTAATTACAACCTTTTTTCGAAAATCAAGAAAAAGAAAAAATTATTAAATATAATTCTTTTTTGATAAATAAAAAGAAAGATACAAACTGTTTACCAAAATGTTTAATGCCGGAGGTAAGTTTTTGGGCAGTAAGATTTGATGCAAACAATTTACCAGTAGAAATTGTTAAATTCTTTAGAACCTTTTGTTTATCAAAGGCAAATTTCATCACCTATTTTTTAAAATCCAATTTAATCTTACAAGATGAATTGGTCCTTTTTAAGAAGGGGGTAGACCAAGCTCCTTAAGGGATTCCATAAGGTCTTTGGGAATTCATTTTTATGATTTGTCACATGAATTATTAAAAAATGGGTTCTTTTTTCGGGCCTAAAAATAAGTTCATTAGCTCTATTTCTATAATGTTTTTAAAATTCTCAAAATTTTCATCAGTTTTTATTCTTTCTATACAAATGAAAAGCTTTATCTCTATCAAATTTGTTTTGTTTGTTTGTTTGTTTCATTTTACGCCTTTTTTCAACAGTATTTCAGTCATATAGGCACGGGTAGTTTTTCCTAACCATCGTTCCTGGAGAGTTACAACCAGTACTAGACTACCTTCCCTCCGCGCTAAACTACCAAAGCATCTCTATCATTTAAACATTGTAAAATTTCTGGGACTAATCCATGTTTTCTGTACGTTGTTTAATACGCATTTTCCCTAAACAGGAGCAATGTTATCAACAACATTTAGAAACTAGATTTAAAAAAGATTCCAAGCTTCAGATACACAGTCACAATAATAAATACAGGAGACCAGTCAACTGCAAGTAAAGATTGCTGGAAATCATCCTTATTATAATTTTTCATTGAACGTGCTTTGATAGTGTTATGCTTGCCAACATAATTTTTTGTAACTTTTCTTGTACAATAGATAGTAAAATGATCACTAAAAATTAACAGAATTTATAATTTCCTTAACTTCACTCACCTCTTCACTATGTATATCGGATCTTTTTATATACAAACAAGATTCACCGGAACGAGCCACGCGATTTTCGTGCAGAACTGAGTGCAGTTCACATAGTTTATAAAGCC